AAAAAATTGGTTTTTTCTTTTTAAATTTTTACGGATAACACGCTATAAAACCAAATTTTATCATAGAGGTACATCGTTATGACAAATTACTAAAAATACCATATTTTTAAAACTACTATTAATATTGTCATTACTAAATAACTAAATTATTATTAACTAAATTTCTATAGTATTCTTTAGTGAATTTTAAAGGATTTTTATAAAGAATTTTTTTAAATAATTTAAAAATTAGTAAGTGAAATAATTTGAAATTGGGCACATGTATTTATGTAAAGATTGTCCAAAATCAAAGGGTTTTCCTAAAATTTACAAGCACCAGTGGCGGAGGTACAAGGTATCGGTGCAATATTTTTCTAAATAAAATGGTACGCCACTGCTTTACAGTAACAACCATGATATTTTCGGAATTGTCTTTCAATTTTCTACAAATTACTACTCTGTTATGTTTTTCGAAAAAAGCCTGATTTTCAAATAAAAATTGGCCTCAATGATTTGGGATCGAGGGGGATTATCCCTCTTTATCCTGCCTCATCTCGTGTAGGCCTGGACAGCTTTCGTAGGTGGGCCCCATCCGTCGTCTACCCCGACCGCAAATGCGGCCGGTGTAGGCGCTTTGTGGGACCTCCTTTTGTCCTGGCTGGGCCCCGCCGGCTAGGGCCCTTTCTTCTGGCGCTCTTCTTGCTTCGCCGGCTCGTCTGTGTAAACCCCGGGGGTAGTGTCATGTTTATGTGTGGTATGGTTGGGTAGGGTAGTGCGGCTATGCAGCCTGGGATGCGCTTTGCTAAGGTGGCCCTTAGGCTAGCGCGGGAGGGGAGGGGTAAGGAGGGTATGGGGGGTGTGTATGTGTGTGTGTGTGTGTTTGTCTTCGTTTCTTGATCCTGGCTGTCTCTGAAACAGAAAAGGTTAGCGGGCAGGGGGGGGGTCATTGGGGTGGTCACCCAGGGTCAAAAAGTTGGTGTCTAGGTCTTTTGTGTTTGTCGGTCACGTCGGGTACGTAGTCAACGGCTTGCCTGAGGAGGGGATTGTCATGTCTAGCGGCTACGTCAAATCGTTTCTCCGCGTTTTGTCTTATTGTCTGTGTAGCGTTTGTGTATTGTAAGTCTCGTAATATGTCAGTGTTTCTTACGTACCAGGGCGCGTCGGTGGCCGTGCGGAGGGCTATGTTTTCCACAGCCTGTAATGACTTTAAGTGGCTTTTTGCCGCGTGACCCCACGCCGTGGAGGCGTAGGTTAGCTGCGGTTGAAGTACCACCTTGATAAGCGTTCGCTTATTCCTTAAACTGAGGGTGTTTCCACCTTTGAGTAAGGGATAGAGCCTAGCCCTGGTGGTCTTCGCTCGCGCCACCGTCTCCACGATGTGCGGTTTCCACGTGAGACGCTGGTCCATCGTCACGCCCAGGTATCGTGTTTGTCGATTCCAGGAGATAGGTTCCTGGGATAGTGTCAGTCTGTCGAGGTTTTGTGGGATTTTTCGTTTGGTAAAAAGGATAGCCGAACTTTTGTTGGGATTAATTTTGACTTTCCACCTGTTGCACCAGGTTTCAAGTTGGTCTAAGGAGTTTTGGAGGAGGGAGACGGAATATCTAGGATCTACGGATTGGGATGTGATTGTCAGGTCGTCGGCGTATAAGTATATGTTGGTGTTGGGGGGATGTGGGATGTCGGAGTTGTAAATGGTGTATAGGTGTGGGGACAGGACGGTGCCCTGGGGGACACCGGCCTCCATGGGACGGGTGGTGGAAAGGGAATCTTGGATTTGGATGCGGAATTTTCGGTGGTGTAGGTAGGATTTTATGAGTTTGGTAAAGGATATGGGATATTGGTTGGTGAGCATTTTCATCAGTAGGCCTTCATGCCAAACCGTATCGAAGGCCTTTGCGACGTCCAGGAAGACAGCACCAGTGTACTGTCCCCTGTTGAAGGCCGCCGTGATGTGCTCGGTAAGGCGAAGGATTTGGAGTTCAGTGGAGTGATTGGGTCGGAAGGCGAACTGCTCGTCTGGAATGACTTGCAGTTCTTGGGAGTGGGTTCTTAGACGGGTTAGGATAATTTTTTCTACCACTTTGCTCATAGCCGGGAGCAGGCTAATGGGCCGGTAGTTGGATGGGATGGTGTGACCTTTGTTGGGTTTTGGGATTTTAAGGAAGTAGATGGCTCTGCTTTCACTTTGTGTGACGAACCATGATAGTTGACTGCCGACTTCCTTTTTCCTAGCCACGTGGATCGCCCTGTCCAATGTGACACTTTCTTGCAATTCAAAAAATTTATCCAGGATTTCACCTTTGTCGAAACCAGAAATAAAGTCCGTGAGGATTTGATCCTATGCGTCCAAACTTGTATTTTCCTCCCAGGTTTTTTACTCCAGCTGCCCATTGCGCTACTGTTTCATGCACGTTCTCGAAGCTTAATAAAATTTGTAACGTTCCAAAATCGATGTTGGCTTGATGAAATAGTTGTCGAAACTTTGAATGAGTTCTGCCTAAGATTTCTTTTTGGGAACTTCGGGTACACACAAATCTGCTGCTAATTTATAAGCGTCTTCGTCGAGGTTATTTAATAGCACTGATTTTTGAATTCTTTCTCCTTTAATTTCATTAGCGATGAAATATTTGTTCAAGCCTAGCTCTGTGCACTGACCAGTCACTGTCCATTACGAAAAGTTCTCGAACTTATCCAATTTTTTAATTCATTTTAATTTTTACCTCGTCCTCACTGTTAGGTATATCGATTTAGGAATGAATGTATTACTTTTATTTTCCATCTGGCTACAGCAAATCTAATATCTACAATACATTACCTACTTTTTATAATTCGGTGAAAACTAATATACAGCTTACTAGCTCGCATACACCTTACACACCATATAAAGTTTAACACACACACTAACACTTGTTTTTTGATCCTCTCAACATATCAGAGTTTCTGCGAAATTGGTGAGACACTTGGGGACCCTTATCTATCCCATTTTTTACGTTACATTATGAAAACTTAAAATCGACAAAACTTTTTAAATTCAAATGGGACAACCTGTATTTTTATGCATGATTTTATAGAAAATTAAATTCTCTTTCATTTATATAGGCATTTCTTACATTCTCATGATTATTACATTAAAAATGTCATCAATATGTCTTAAAACACAAATATTGGCATTGCCATTCAGTATTCTACAGGTATCAAGTATTTTTAATTTATTTTATATCCATGGAAAATTCAGCACGAATTAGAATTATTAGCTGTATTTCTATAATTTGGTTTATTGCAAACGAAATCGAACAATTAATAAAATATTTTCGGTTGGTTTTCTAAGAATTTTGCTCTAATTTACAATGTTGTCGGCCAGTGTTTAAAGAATAGCATGATTTCAAATAACTAACAAATGCATTATCAGGTAAATTTATGATATTTGGAATGAAGTTAATAGGAGAGAATATTATAATTTAAATTTTTGGTTACTTTAAATTTAATTCTTTTCTTAATGAAGTAATAATTATTTGCTTTATTCTACTTGCACTTACTGATAATAGCATCCCGTTGGAAGAAAATAATCTTATAATTTTTGGTAAATGTATTAGGTATCTCATTATTTAAAAGATATAACAAACGTGAAACAACGCAGTTTATTAATGTAATTATGAAAAAAATAAAACTATAAAATATTTCAATGTGCTACAAAGAAAGCTATTTGTATGTAGCTCGCCGAGATTCATTCGCGTCTAATTCCTCAAATGTTGCAAAATACCAAATCATAGTAATGTAGCTAACAACTCTGATTTTATGGTGAATATCCCATGGATACAAAATAAATTCCAAATATCCTCAAATATCAAAATGAAGCAGGTGAATTATTACATAAAGGATCGCTGGTTACTGAACTGCCCGTGGATTGGGTAGACGTTCGTTCACAGGTAGGGTCCTGCTGGTGGCTCTGCTACGTGGTTCGGTTTAGTGGGACACCATTTCCACCTTTCGGATTCACCTCCCTTTCGTTGCGTTGCTGTGCTGCGGGATTATACTTGTTTCAAATAAACGAACTTAAAATAATTTGTTTTTCTCTTTGCGAGTATAGCATTTTTAATTAACAATTTGTAGTTACACTTTTTTTAGTTGATTAGTTGATGAAGTTACTGCCACTGTCACTTTTATTGATGTATCCATTGTCACTAGCTAAGAACTTGATATTTTAAATTTAAATTTTTATTTATTTTTATTTGCTAATATTTCAAGACAATTGACTTTGAGTATATGGCTTTATATTAAAAAAATGTTTAGAAGTACACGAAGAATCAATAAATTAATTCAGATATAGGATATCCCATTTAAGAAAGTATAATTTTTGATCTACCCTGTATACTAATATGTTTGATCAATTTCCAAATACCTGTACAAAAAGTACAGAGAAAATCCTACAGGCTCACATTTTTTATAAAATTTTACCGCCCACATGAACAAGTTGTGGGGGTGGACATTTTAGAAAATCACCCGGTACAAGGTGTTTCACTTTCTATTTTTGTAACTTTTGAAATCGATAAAACTATGAAAAATAATGTGGGTTTATTTAATAAACTATACATATTCCGGAAAGGTCGCGATTTCGAGATAAGGAGCTAAATTTGAATTTCTTTCATGTTTTTTTTAAATGTCTTTGAAACGAGGAACCTTCGTAATATTTTGAGAACTCTTCCTGCTAATGATAACTATTAGTTGGTGCTAGAATGATAGCTGTACTTACACTGATTACAACTTTTTTAAGGTACCTCCCAAGCTAAAATTTTTCTGTGGTTCAAAGCGCTCGACTGGGCACCAAAATTGATTGTATCTCAGTTTTCCTAATATTTTTTCTCTTGACATTTTTTGAATTTCCTAGCCGATCTTTTCAATTCATTGAAGATATTTAAAAAAAAAAACATTAAAAAAGTTCAAATTTGGCGCCTCATCCGGGATAAAGTAACCAAGATAAAAAGTGAAACACCCGTAGAACGATTTTTGTTTTTTTACAGACTGTTCATATAGTGGAAACAACATCGCCACGACGACGATGAGGCTGCGAAGTGCCTCTCGTAAGAATGATTGCTCGAATAATAAGGAACCAGGTGTCGGTATATCTAAATTAGGTTTTTCTGACAATGCAAACAGAATGTGTCGCGTTAAAAATAGAACGACTGGTTCTAATAAACAAACCGCCTCTACTTTAGATAGCTCTCAAAGGCTTAAAGATAACACTTCTGATGCATTGTCAGAAGAAATAAACTTAGTAACACACACTCACCAACACAACATTAATCCTGATGCACACGATGCTGTTCCGTTACAAGTACGACATCGCGAACTAACTTTACGAGGTAAATTGAAAAATAAGCTTCGACAGGCACAACCAAAAAAAGTTGCGAATCTTACACCGTCAACTCTCTATGTCCAATTAACACGAGTGGTTGATGGTGTACAAACATCTGTCGATGAATCTCCGCTACGCGAGGCGACGCTTTCGCCTACCACTCCCCCGCCTTTCGTCCAAATTCCGAACGAGGATTTGCATATGCATGAAAGCGACGCTATCGTCGCTCGCGAGTCCACACGCGACAACGAAAATGTCGTACCTGTAGCCGTGCAGCCGCCCAGACGGAAGCACGCGGCGATCCCGAAAAAGGTTACCTGGCGGTTAGCTCGTGTTGCTACGGCGGCAGTTTTGGAACAACAATGCGCCACGGTATACCACTGTGGTGATTTCGATGAACGCTGCGTTCATTGCGGTGCAAAGTTTTTCCAAGGCGAGTCGCGCAATAGACAGGGTATCCGCTTGGGATGTTGTAAGAACGGATCGTACGCGGCGCCTCCTCTGGGCGAGTGTCCCCCCTCGCTTAAAAATCTTTATACGGGAAACGATCATAGATCCGTCGAGTTCAGAAACCGTATACGATTAATTAACAGTCTGTTTGCCATGGCAACATTCAAAACCTCTCAACCTATTATCGTAAACGAGGGTCAGGGTCCGTGGTGTTTTTTCGTGCGCGGTGAAATTTATCATTTTACGGAAGGGGTTCCAGACGCTGGAAACCTCGGCAGTCCGAGACTGCAACATTATTACTTTTTGGACCCGGATGTCGCTCTGGAACATCGACTCGCTTTCGTTCGGGGCCGCGTACATCGCGATACTTTGGGATTAATCGAAATTACGTTACGTAACGTAAATAGGTATGTTAAGGGGTATAACGTTATGGGCACAGTATTGAGAGAGAGACTTCGTTCGGGTCGGGACGTAGATGACGTTATAATTGGCCTCGTGAATAATTATTCTAATATCAATATTTTGTGCCGAGATCACAATTTACCCGATAGTCCAAGCGACACGGCGGCTCTTTTCGACGGAATAGAGCCGCCGTTTCGTGTCGATTTACGACTTTATTCGCGATCGGATCCGAGGAACAACGGCCATCACGAATTGAAGAATCTCAACTCGTTGGCTGATCCCATGGTGTACCCCTTACTTTTTCCTAGAGGCGACGACGGGTATAGCGTAAATTTGGATTATCATAACCGTCCCGCAAAGACCGTTACTTTTAGAGAATTCTATCGGTATAGAATTCAAGTGCGTGACGGGTTTTCGGTATTGCATTACGGGGGTAAATTGTTTCAGCAGTACCTTGTCGACGCGTGGATTAAGGTAGAGGCGAATATGTTGTGGTGGCTAAAACAGCATCAAATTAAACTTCGGCGCATTGAACAACAAGCGCTGCGACGTTATAATCGGATCAATGCTAGGGGGGACACTCCAGTACAAAACGTTGATCGTGTTTGCGCGCTACCAGCAAGCTTTTACGGCAGTGACCGCCATAGACAAAGGCAATACCTGAACGCTATGACGGTGGTAGCGCGCCACGGTAAACCAGACCTTTTTATAACATTTACTTGTAACCCCAGATGGGTAGAAATCTCTTCAAACCTAGAGCATAATCAAAAGTGGGAGAATAGGCCGGACCTGGTTTGTCGGGTCTTCCACGTTAAATTCTTGGAATTCATGGATGATATAATTCATAAACAGCTCTACGGGGTTATTCTGAATTATCATTATGTCATAGAATTCCAAAAAAGGGGTCTTCCCCATGCACATATAATCGTTACTTTTATAGACGACGACAAACTTGAGGATTCGGAGTCCGTAGACAGTGTAATATCCGCGGTGATACCCGACAGAGTCGCACAACCTCTGTTGTATCAACGTGTCGGGGAATATCAAATACACACCCCCTGCGGTCCTACGAATCCTCGAGCGCCGTGTATGCGGAACAACAAGTGCAGCAAATTCTACCCCATAGATTATGCCGAGATTACTCGATTAGGAGCCGGCGGTAATAACCGCCCTGTTTATAAAAGACCGCGCGATGGAAGAACAATTTTAGTTCCCAATACCCGTCTGGAGGTTACAAACCAACATATAGTGCCTTACAATAGCTTCGCACTGGCCAAGTACGCTTGTCATATAAACTTTGAGGCCGTGGGATCGCTTTTGTCAATAAAATATCTCTTCAAATATGTTTCCAAAGGAGCCGAATCTATCACACCCCGACATGATACCAACGACTCACTTTCCCACTCAACTCAAATTGATGAGATCAAGAAATACCTTGATTGTCGTTGCGTCAGCTCCATGGAAGCCACCTGGCGACTCATGGAGTTTAAGATGAGCGACAGATCTCACGGTGTCTTGGTTCTGCCTGTTCATTTACCGGGGGAGAATATCTTCCTTTATGACGGGCTGGATGAAGACACCGAACACGCGGAACACCTTTTGCGTGTACCTTCGAAACTGGAAGCATGGTTCGCTTTGAATCAATGCTCTGCGGAAGCTCGGAGGTACAAATATGTTGAGATACCGGAATATTATACTTGGGATGGGAAAGTGGGTCGTTGGACCATTAGAAAACAAGTACCAAAATTGATCGGTTGTATCGCGAAGGTGGGTCGCTCCGCGGATCAATCCGAGAAACACTTTTTACGCACTTTACTTGCACATGTACGGGGCGCAACATCTTTTCAGGACTTGCGAACCGTAGAGGGGCAAGTATTTGATACTTTCAAAGATGCGTGCACACGGCGCAATTATTTACACCATTCAAATGAGTACGAACTTTGCCTCGGCGAGGCTATTGTAAGGTGTCGTTCTAAGAAATTACGCGAACTATTTTCCTTAATATGTTGCGCGGCCGTCGACGAAGATAAAATAGACACAATTCCCGTATTGTGGCAACGGTATAGTTATTGTATGTTGGAAGATTTTGTTCGTGGCGGTATGGCAGTGAGGCCATCCCTTCTCGCGGCTGCGGAACATGTTGAAAGAATAGTTTCGCGTAATAACATAGTTAGTTTGGCTACGTTGGGGATTTCTATCGCCGACGTAGTCGAAGATGTCGAGCAATTCAACGACGGTGACACTGAGAACGGCGACAATAATAGACCCACCGACGATGACGACGATCGTTACCGTAAACTAAATTTTGTCGAATACAATCCCGTTCTTTTTAACGTCGAGCAGAAAAAGATTTTTGTACACGTCCTTCGAGCCATTTCGCTACGAACCGGTATTGCCCTACCCGATGCGCTGCTACCGTTTCTAGATGATGTCGACTCATTTACAGACAATGTAGCAATAGATCAACGCCAATCCTTATTTTACGTAGGCGGACCCGCAGGCTCCGGAAAGACGTATCTTTACAATACGTTGTTAACGGTAGTACGCCAAATTTTTCGTAGAAATACAACCGCGGTAGCTTGGACCCATATCGCCGCCAATTTACTAATCGACGGACAAACAGTCCGGAAAGCGTTTCAGTTACCCGTTACTTTAGACGACAAGTCTGTAGCGGGGTGGCCGCTGCAAGACCAAAATTCCAAGTGTCTTAAAGATGTAGCTCTGATTATTTGGGACGAGGCCCAAATGGCGCCTAAATTGGCCATAAACGCGGTCGATAGATACCTGCGGCGTATTCATAACACCCCAACGACGCCAATGGGTGGTAAAATTGTCATCTTTGGCGGCGACTTTAAACAGTCGTTGCCTGACACTGTATTCGCGTTCGCGAACAAATCCGATGTTATAGAGAACACGTTAATGTTCAGTCCGTTGTGGCCAGAAACGACTAAATTTCAGTTAACGGGAAACGTGAGGGCAGGAGTGGTACAATTACCGGATCCGCTCCTAGCCGACGACTCTTTCGCGAATTGGCTACTCCGATTAGGAGAAGGTCGCCTACCTCATGTATCGCTGACGGCCGAAATCGCGGCTCCTTCCGATTTAATTGAAATTCCGACAATTATACGCGTCCCGTCCCGCGAGGACCTAATAGCCTTCGTCTACGGGGACGATTTTACCTCTATAGACGTCGGTTTTAAGGCTATCCTTTGTTCAACGAACTCCGCCGCGGCTAAGGTCAATTCGGAAATATTAAGTAGATTACCGGGTGAAAATAAAATTTACGTAAGCGTGGACGACTATAAAAATCATCCTCGTGATGACTTTTATGTGACTGACGACCTCTTAAATTCTATAAATTCGCCGTCACTACCGCCGCACGAGCTACATGTAAAGGTCGGAGCGGTCGTGATTTTGTTGAGAGACGTATACGTAGACGGGAAGCAATGCAACGGGGCTCGACTGCGGGTCACTGGTCTATACGATCACGTCATCGAATGCCAATTGCTCACTGGCGATAGGGCGGGCGCAACACTGTGGTTGCCCAAAATCAAAATGACCGCCACGGATACTTCCTTACCGTCGGAAGTGATCCGTATTCAGTTTCCCGTGAAACTGGCCTTTGCTATCACTATCGACATGTCGCAAGGGCAATCAATGACGAAGGTTGGCGTTTATCTGAATCGCCCGTGTACCGCACACGGACAATTGTACGTCGCCTTTAGCCGAGTCAGCCGGGTAAACCAGCTGAGAGTATTTGTAGAGAACGGTAATTGTCAGGGGACTTTTAAATTTCGGGAACGAAAGGTATTTACTAGGAACGTTGTGTTCCCTGAGGTAATGTCTTTCGACGAAACGGGCACGCCGTGTCGCAATGTACGCGTAGATCACGACAGTTTCGACGCCGCAGATTACGTCGAAACCGTTTTCGAGGAAACGGGCGATAATGACAATAACTCGGACCATAACAATAATGACGACACTGACTGAACGTACGGTGTCAAATTTTACCGGGAACTTTTGGCATCCGTCCGGTAACAGCACCAACTAAGGTACTTGAGGTAAATAAGGCCCAGGAGGTAATAAGGCCCGCATTTAAAATTTCGCGCTAAAATAATTTGATATATCACTCTTCACGCACACATGCGTTTACTTTAGTTAGAAGTACAATTTAGTTTTGGTTGAAAACGGAAAAGTCTCATTTATTTTTTCAAAGGTCAAAGTTATGGAAAAGTGTTTTTTTGACGCGAGAGTTGATGAGACAAGTCCGATTAAATTCCGATAATTTGTTTATGCGCCTAGTTAAAAAATGGTCGAAAATTTACGTTTTTTTCAATTGCTAATAATTAATGCAGTTTTCATCGCAGTTACTTGTAATTCTGGTACAAAGAGCTTAAAAAATCCTGATTTGTAAGTGTCTGCGATGAAAATTGCATTAATTATTAGCAATTGAGAAAAAAAGTCCATTTTCAACCATTTTTGAGCTCTCGCGCATAAACAAATTATCGGAATTTAATCGGACTTGTCTCATTTTGCAGGTTTATTTAATACCTACCTTTTTTTGTATAAACCTTTTCCATAACTCTGACCATTGTTTAAATAACTAGTCTCGAGGTGATTTTTTAATATTTTGTTTATAACACGTTTCCGAAGAATATTCCGCAGAGAAACTTCTAATAATATTTTTTCCTGAGACATTCTGTTTCATGTCTATAATGACTGGACTACATGTTGATTATTAAGGGAAATGAGCAATAAAAGTTTTATATTTCTTTTTTTCTAATTTAAGGATGTTTTTAAGGAGTCATTTAAGTTGCGAAAAATTGTAAGTTCACAAGAGGCCTTATTATGCCAGGTTGGTTTAATAAGGCCCAAAAAAATTTAATAAGTCAAATGTTTTTAAAAAGATTGTCTCTTGTACCTATTATTTGTTTAACTTTTGTGATAACTTAAATTAATAAACATTGTAGAAAACATGATTTTGTCTTTCTAAACAACTAAATATACTATTTATTGCATATTTAGGCCTTACGTGCCTCAAGTACCTTAGACAATCGATTTTACAATTCCGACAACGACTAAACGGATTCTCTTTACGACTATTACAGACACTGTTCTCCAGTCGTCACCGTAACGTAAGGCTTTTTTCGCGACTGAATATTGGTGAATATCAGACTTGTAGTTTCTGTTTTTATCTCTTTTGATTTTAGTTGTCATATGGTAGTTTAAATCTCTTCGTTCACTCATATTGCACATACTACAACTTCACTCGCGAAACAAAGCTTGTAGATGACCTCGATTAAGACCAACAGTGTCGTAGCTAAGGTCAAGAGCGCCCAGAGCAAGATTTGGAATTTAGAGTGTAATTTAAGTTACGTTAATTATTTTAAGGTTTGCGCCCCTGGCAGCCGCCGCCTCGGCCAGCCCCTAGCTGCGACGCTGTTGGCCCCTTCTCTTCCCTAAATTTCCATTCTTCTTTCCTTTTCATTTATTCGCTATTTTCGTTCCTGTCTATCTATTTCTACTCTTGTTCTTTTCATATCGACTGAAACTATAACTTTTCTCTCTGTATTCGATCCTGTCCGTTGTTGCTTATAAATATTTTATATATTTATGAAGCCGTACAACGCTGACGAGATCAAGGAAGATCGAAACAGGATGTCCTTTTCTGTTCAATCTTCTTGTTTGACCTTATTAATATTTTTCTATTTCAGATTTACAAAGGAACCTCATTTTGGATTGCTGTGAAAAGCGGCGCGGTAACCTGCAACACTCAAGTCCTGTGTGACCCATTATGCATAGAAAATTGAACATAGAAAATTGTCCTGTATATTAATTTTTCTATGCCCATTATGCGTGCCGCTACTTAGTAGTAGAGTCGCATTAACCCTGCTGAAGTCTCTCTGATGTCCTGAGATGACAGAAATGTTCCTCCACCCCCAGGTGTTTCTATGTGTTCGCCATTAAACAGGTATAATACAGTGTAAAAAGATTTGTCGTATCCGCATAACCTGCATTTTGTAGGTCAATCATGCAAGAGAGGTTTTGTTTGTGGCAAAAATACTAGCAGCAAACGGACTGTACCATCGTATAAAAGACAGTCTGTAGATATAGGTATGCTTATATGTATGTTTGCTACTCCAATTTACCATCAATTTTTTATAAACATTTTCATGCAAAAAACACATTTTTGTAGTTTTTGAATGGTAGGTATAAAAAGACAATTTGTAGATAATCGACATACGAATAAAACCAGAGGTCGATAATTGGAAACGAAGAAAATTCGGAAAAATTAGAAAATTGGGAAATTTTATATTTTGTGTACAGGGTGATTTCACTTTAAATACAGAACCTGCAGGAATAGATTAGTTGCCAAAAAATAAGTTGAGTTTGCTCTAAAAACTTTTTCCTGTGGGACGTAGAATTCGAGATACAGGGTGTTCAAGTTTCCAAAAAAATATATTTTTTCTGTCATATCTTCACATTTCGCTGAACGATTTGAGTGAAATTTACTACAGCGTATTCACTTAATTAGGCCTTTTTTGAATGTAATAGTAACCTCGTCGCATTAACCAGTGGCGTGCTACTGAAGGTACCACTCCGTTTTCCCAAGAAAAAGATACGCTACTGGCGGTTTTTTGTAAAAATAATGTTAAATTCAGGTACTGTTACGTTAAATGGATGAAAAGTGTTTCTTGGTGTTTTTTAATAGTAGCAGCCGTTTAGAAGATAACTTACTTATTTGCCGACCATAATGCGCACATTTAGTCTCACACGTGGCTACATAATAGTATATTACGTAATAAGTGTTGTAAAAAGCATTTTACGCACGAATGGAAAAGTTACGCACGACGCCGCGTAGCGGCGAGTGCGTAATTCTATGAGTGCGTAATGCATTACACCACGTATTACGTACTATACTTTACCTACGACCACTACTTTAAATACTTAAAAACATGCCGTCTGCGATCAATGCAAGATTCCTATTACGTCGTACGGTAAAAAAATCGCACAGCTTGGTAAAAAAATCGTACAGTTTTCCTAGTAACCGCCTAGCAACGGTCAATACAAACAGTATTGTATTGGCCGTTGCTAGGCAGTTGCTAGGAAAACTGTGCGGTTTTTTTTACCGTACGTAATAGAAATCTTACATTGATCGCAGACAGTGTGTTTTTAAGTACTTACAGTAGTGGTCGTAGGTAAAATTGTTTAAAATCCATCTACAAAAATTGATTCTTAGATTTTTAGAATTAAAACTAGCTTTGTTTATTTATTCCTGAAGCTGCAGCTTGAGCTTATGAACACGAGACGAAATGTGGCAAAGAATAGAGGAAAATTGTAGTGTCCTCAGGGAAAATCATGTCATGATAAGTTCATCTATAAATAGCCTGATTAGAAGATGAAAAAGTGAATCTATGAGTATTTTTAATTGGTTTTGGACAATTGTTGTAGGAGTCATTACTTAATTACTTACTCGACCTATTGCTAATGTTATTTTATTATTTAGACTTTGTAATTTTTTCCAGAAATAAAATTATTTCTACAAAAAAACGAAGGTGGCGTATTCTATTATTGGGAAAAATTGGCGGGCGGTTTACTAACGCGTCACTGATTAAAACCAGGAGGTGTTCATCAAATAAACGGATTATTTATCAAGAAAATTAAATAAAACGTTAAAAACAAGCTCAAATATCTCCTAAACGGCTGCTACTGCTATTAAAAAACACAAAGAAACATTTTTCATTCATTTAAAGTAACAGTACCTGAATGTAACCATTTTTACAAAAAATCGCCAGTGACGTATTTTTTTCTAGGGAAAATGGGGCGGCACCTCCAGTAATACGCCACTGGTTATAAAGACTCAAGGTTAATATTACATTCAATAAAAGGTCTAAGTACTTCCTTATTTATTTTTTGGTAACGAATCTAGTCTTGCAGTTTCATAATATTACTCTACCTATACTATAACTAACAATATTCAAGATTGTATACCTATATATCCATTTCCCCTCCTCTCCAGATCTACCCACTACGTGCGCTCGGCCGTTTTTGGGCATGTTTGGAGGAATTTTTCACCTATTTCGCATCATTTTATCGGAAAATTAAAATATACGTTTTGTAGTGTTAAACTTATTAAACTTATGCACACTTAAAGTACATATAATTATAATTCACTACTTTTGTGCACAATGTCATCTTTACAACTTAAAAAATGGCAGAGTAATGGATTAAAAAAAACGAGTTTTCTTGTATTCTAACTATCCGATCGAATCGATAGACCTCTCGTTTTATTCGTATTTCGATTCTCTACAAATTGCCTCTTTATAGCATTCAGATTGCTTCGTTAGTTTATGTTTTATAAGCAAAAAAATTTAAAAATGCGTTTTTTGTACGAAAATGTTAATAAAAAATTAATGGTAAATTAGAGTAAGAAACATATAAGCATATTATATCTACAGACTGCCTTTTACATGATGGCACAGTCGGTTTGCTACTCGTATTTTTGTCAATCACTGATTTAATGTTCTATTGATTGACTTATTGCATTAAAAATTATTTTCAAAAGGTTTAATTAAAGTATATTGCACGCAGTTTGTTACTTTTTGTTTTTTATTATTTTACGCAAAAAGGGTACCCAATATATGCATGATGATGTTGGTACTATATTATATGTCTGGTCTGTTTAGAAAATAATCGAACATTATTTTCTTAAACTTTATTATTAATTGTATACATTTATCGGTCCTTGTCTCCTTCAAAGTACTCCCCTACCGAATTCACACACCTTTCCCAGCGGTGATTATTGAATTTTTGTCTCAATGTCGCAGCTGTAAACCCAGCTTTCGTCTCCTGTAATGATCCTTTGAATAAAGGCTTCAATAATTGGTGCAATAATTACATACATCTTACGTCCTTCTCTAAGTGGAAGTTTTCACTCTCCAATTTCACATTCCTGTTTAAAACAGACCGTACTATATTTTGAGCACGCT